TCACTCTCTGTTTTGTATTACTAATAAGATTTCTCAACTGTCTCATTTAGTGATTGTAGGTTTCCTGGTTTCCTTTGTTTGTGGCTGCAGATTCTGGTAAATGCAGCAAGTTTTGTTAAATCTTGACTGTGGGAGGACTTGGTTCTTGTTTCCAAATGAATTAGTCCATTTGTCTGGTTCCAAGAGAAAACAACAGTGGCCCACAGGAGGCTCCTCTCCAGTTAAGGCAGGAAAAGTAGTTGACCCACTGTGCTGGAAGGAATTTCAGTAAATTTTTCCACATCCTTTATTTTTTAAGTTGTGAAATACCCGCTCCACAAGTCTCAGTATGAACTGATGAAAGGTTATGAGATATCTTGGTTACATATAACATTGTTTTAACAGCATTTAAATGACTATATATTACTGTGAAGCAGATCCTAACAACAGAAGCATGCAACCTTGATGCCTAAACAAGAGCTAGAGCCATCTAATGGCTCTGTGAGGCTGCACTAAAACACATCAGAGCTTTCAGCTAAATGCTAACATCCACCTGTTGACACACTGATAAGCAGGTTTTTAGTAGTGTGTTTGCACCAAAGACTGTATAAAATGTTGGACATAGCTACTGTGACGCTGCCCGTTGGTTTGTGGACTGTTTTGAAGTTCAGCATTTCGGCTGTTGTCATCTGTTTTTTTTTTTTAGCCACAAGTGACACTATTCGCTCAAGAGGATGGAGCTGTGGAGAAGCGAGGGTCGATCTGACCTATAGACTGTAGCGACACCTCACAGACATGTCACTCAAGCGACCCTGCCCTTAAATATGCGTAACTTTAAGCCTTAACAAAACAACAATACTCAGGTAGGCTGTGGTGTTTAAACCATGCTCAGTTGGTACTAAGAAAATCTCCCCCACACCATTACACCACCAGCAGCAGCCTGAACCGTTGATACAAGGCAGGATGGATCCATGCTCTCATGTTGTTTACACCAAATTCTGACCCTACCATCTGAATGTGGCAGCAGAAATCCAGACTCATCAGACCAGGCAACGTTTCTCCAATCTTCTATTGTCCAGTTTTGGTGAGCCTGTGTGAATTGTAGCCTCAGTTTCCTGTTGTTAGCTGACAGGAGTGGCACCTGGTGTGGTCGTCTGCTGCTGTAGCCCATCTGCTTCAAGGTTGGACGTGTACGAACCAGTGGTTATTTGACTTCCTGTTGCCTTTCTATCATCTTGAACCAGTCTGGCCATTCTCCTCTGACCTCTGGCATCAACAAGATTGTGTGTGAAAATCCCAGTAGATCAGCAGTTTCTGAAATACTCAGACCAGCCTGTCTGGCACCAACAACCATGCCACGTTCAGAGTCACTTAAATCACCTTTCTTCCCCATTCTGATGCTCAGTTTGAACTTCAGCAGGTCGTCTTCACCATGCCTAGTGGCTGCCACATGATTGGCTAATTAGCTATTAACATTAACATGCAGCTGAACAGGTGTACCTGATAAAGTGGCCGGCCGAAAAGTGTACACCCCCATGGTAAAATGTCCAACTTTACAGCAGAAATAAACACATTTACAGCCTGGTACAAAAATGAGTTCGGTCTCTATAGCGAACATCAACATTCATGGCAGCTGTATGGGGGTGAATTTTTGTATAAATCACCCATTTACATTTTATTAAGGCTTAAAGTTAAGTATAACTAAGGGCGGCTGCTTTGAGTGACAGGGTGTGTGTAGATAGTGTCCCTGGCTTCTCAGTCAGATCAGCCCCTTGTTTCTCCACAACACCAATCTCTTGCCCAGGTATGGTCACTTCTGGTGTAAAAACACCAAGATGGTGAAGGCTGAAATGTCAAACCTGAGGTTTGAAAACAGGAGTCCACAAACTAATGAGTGACATCTCGGTAACTACATCCATTATTTTTACAGTCTACGATGTACATACTGTGTAGAACTAGTATGAATTTAGCACACAGCTGTTCACGAACTTAGGGTGATAATAATTTGCTAATAAGCTCTAAACACAAAGTACAGCTAAGGCTTGTGGAAATGTCATTAGTTTTGCAGGAAGTGTTGAACTGAAAGTTGGACATGATGATTTCTTTTTTTCTCTCTCTCTCTCTAATATTTGATTTGAATGTGACTCACTGTCTTAGCTCATTAAATGTTTAACAGCAGGATGACAGCTCTAACAAAAACATACCTAACCCACAACCTCCCACAAATAGGTTGCCAGTAGCATGTCTTTGAAGCAGGTAAGGCAAGTTGAAATCAGCGAAAGGTATTTGTGGTTTGTGATGTAAAATATGTGTGTAGGAAGAGAATGAGAGTGACTCTTCATCTAAAATTGCTTGAGTGCTGAAATGTAACTAACATTTTTAAGTAAGTACAAATTCAACATAATTACACTTTTGTTTGAGCATTTCCTTTTTAATGCAACCTCATACTTTTACTTCATACATTTGTCTTACAGCTTTTGTTACTAGTTATTTTTCAGATTACCATTTTTCATTCCCTACTCTTCCCTTCCCATTTTACATGTTTGTGATAAACTGAAGTGTTCCTTTATGTGTTGAGAAAACTCTCATTCTGTTCTTAAGCTAAATAAACTCATTAAAAAAAACCTCTTGGATCAGCTGTTGCAAAGGTGAAGACTGGTTAAAACCAGTAAAAGAAGCAAGAATAGATCTATATACTTAGATTAATATTAAAAGTGCACTGCATGTATATTCATGCTGACATCAGCAAATTGAAATTTGTGTGTAATGGATGAAATTTAGAGATTGTTCACTGCTTTTAATATCTCGGGGTCATCGTGAATTATAATGGTTCTTTTAAGACCGCCATCAAGGAGCTGCATAAGCAAGCTTCTTGTGCAAATGTTGGCCATTTTCTGATGATGATCCAGGTGGGTTTTGCAGGTTAGGCAGATACTGTATGAATGTGGCTCGTCTTACCTCTGGCTCACACAAACATCAACTGGTTAAAACTAGCTCTCGAACAGAGGTTTAAAGATCAGTTGGGGATCATGTGATAAATATATGTCAAAATTAAACAAGAGTTTAAACTGGACAAGTATCCATTGCATGAAAGCTAAAAGTACAGAAAGGTTATTTGTAACTTTAGAGTTCCTAAAGACAGTGGACGATATAAAGGGCTGGACAGAAACCAGAGGATCTGTAACCTCTATGATGATAACTGTGTGGGAGATGAGTATCACATTTTGTTTGAATGTCAGAGTGTAAGTTTAAAGACTTACAGAGAGATATATTTGCCAAAGTATTATTTAAATTGTCCATCTATGTTTAAATCAACTTTGTTATTACAATCAGATGACCCAAAATTAATTTGTAAATTTGTGCATTTTTGAAGAATGGCCTTCCTTTGTTTAAGTAACATTGGTTGTTCTTTTAGCACGCCGTGTGCCATCTTGTTATTGAATGTCATGTTCGTACTCTATACCGTGTGATATGGTCATGAGTTAAATAAATGAAATTAAGTGTTTTTCTGACTACATGACAAGTTGATTTTTTAGATGCATTGTTTTTCACAGGATGGCCACACCTCAAACTAAACTAATTTTAAGCAAACTGTTCTCATAGAATATGATGCACTGCTGTAAATTAAACTACCCAACAGTATATAAGAGTTAAAATGAGCACAACCCTCAACATCTACAGCAGTAAAATGCAATCTACACATGAATGTATTTGTAAAATTAATCCAAACACATCAGACATTATAGTTAAACACTGACATTGAAAATTATACTGCATATGGAGTACTTTCTCTTTTCATAAATTAAGTATATTTAACTGATACGTATTTTACTTGAGTAAAGGTTTGAATGCAGGACTTTTACTTGTGGTGGATTATTTTCACATCATGGTATTTGCACTTTTACTTTAAAAAAGGATGTAAGCACATCTTCCACCACTGCGCTACTCAATAACCACTTCTCCAAACTTTCGCACATGACTACTCTTTCCAAGACACCAGGACACCATTCAAGATATACAAGTGTTTATTAAAAGATGTGGTTACATTTACACTTACAGTTAGTATGGTATAAAATACAATTACCCCCCCCCAAAATATATATGCATTTAAATATACATATAAAGCTTTTCTTTTCCAACACCAGCAAGATAAGACATTGAAAGGCGTGCAGCAACCATTGATGTGCATTAAATATTATTTGTCATGAGTTAAGATGGATTTAGCCATTGCAGGTGTTAGGTAAACTGCGTGATTGTAACTGGTGAAAAATGAATGATATTCACTGGCCCGCAGGCCGATGGTGGCCATCAGAGAAATTTACTGCAGCCCCCGAACATGACATGAAATGCATGCAGTATATTTTAATCATCTGGGAGACATTCAATATGTTCACATTTAATAGCTTACATTTAATACACTGCTAGGAGACTGCATCAAACTGTGCCCCCCTAACAACTGTCTATCAGGTTAGAAATGACAGCTTATAGAAAGCTACTGGTTGTATGGCCACTGGTGGTTTTTACTTTCTGTCATCAATGACAGTGCTGTTAGCTAAAGTTAGCGATTTTGGTGGACAACTCGCAACTGCACTTTTCCTGATACTGGCTCCCTAAATTAGCTCTAAGTCCTTAAAACTTTGAAAACCTACTGGATCATGAATATTGCTGCATCAAAGAACCCCGACAAATCTGTTTCAGTAGAGATATGTCAAATGCCATCATATCAAAAGCATTTGAGGAACATTTTCACATTAAAGGGAAACACTACTAATTGTTCACATAAAGATGAGTTTACTCGTCGTGCGGAGAACTACTCAGGTATCGTCCGGGAGCTTCAAACTTTTAACAGAAAGTTACAAACTGGGGCGTCATGTTTGAAACACAAGTTTAACAATATTTACCAGCTGGAAAGGCTTAAGAAATGAAATCAGATTTGGGATCAAGTTTGGGATCCAGTGTTTTTTGAGCTTGACCCATACTGGGAATTAAAAATAATGAGATCTCGACCACTGCTGCCCCAATGTTGACCATTTCTTTTTAATCTCTCTCTTCCAGGTCCCCCGGCTTAATGGAAGTACAGAACTAAACTGCAAGAGCACCCCTTTAATAAAGTTAATGAAAAGACACTTAGCCACCTATGAACGGCACATTAGCTAAAGAATTGCACTGTCTGCTTGGTCCAGAGGAAGGTATCTGTCCCAGCATGGAATGTAGAAGATGAAGCTGAGCTGATGATGGATGCCTGTGGTAACCAAGAACACAGAGAAGGATGGTGAGGGCCGGTTTTATGAATAAACAGAGGCATGATAGTGAATCAGAAATTCAGAGTGAATGCATGGAGCTAAGAGCAGGAGGAGACTGGTCTGGCTCACTACTGGAGTAATTTCAAAAAATGTTGTTGCAATTAGTTACTTTGACACAAAAACATGTCAAGTCAACAAGTCAAAAAATACTCTTTAAATCTGGATTCTTTTATATCTAATGTGCAGAAAGCCACAAAGCAACACTTCAGCATTGTAGGAAATGCTGTGTTTTTCCCCTCTGTGTTAAAGGACGTTCAAATAAATACCAACTGTATCTATATAGAGTGCCATGCATTCAAACAAAGGGAAAATGTTTAAACACTGCTGCAAGGACAAAGACTGTGTGTAATAAATCCGTCAGAAGTTGTAACCTGTGTTATTTGTACATATACTAATATAGTGTTTTTCTTAGTGTATGTCTTAATCCTCTGTGTTAACTTAGACAGGTATATCAGTTATTATAATTTACTTCTTGCTCTCAGTTTATTGGTATTCCCATGTCTTCAAAAAAACTTAAAATGTTAATTATGAAAAATAAATCAGGAAGCTCTGACAGACTGCCAGAAGCAAAGAGAAGCAACACGTTCTGGAGACACATGTTCAGAACTTGTAAAAGTAGATGAAATATAGAACAGAAGAAATAAGTACAACACAAAATAACTTTGGATAGAATAATGAAAACATACCTCTAGGCTTTGCTATAACATGTGAACAGACCATACACGTTCATTTCACTGTGGCAGACAATTAATGTTTTCCCATTAGCGTCTAATGAGAGGTATTTGCTGGAATCTCCCACAGATCGCAGGCCGAATTTATCGCCGACGTTCTGTTGAACCTTCTCAAACCAGTGCTCATCACGTGAAGGACACACGGATGGGGTGATTTGCTGTGAACACACAAAACACAATGTATATAAATGTTTACATACAGTACAGGCCAAAAGTTTGGACACACCTTCTCATTCAATGCGTTTTCTTTATTTTCATGACTATTTACATTGTAGATTCTCACTGAAGGCATCAAAACTATGAATGAACACATGTGGAGTTATGTACTTAACAAAAAAAGGTGAAATAACTGAAAACATGTTTTATATTCTAGTTTCTTCAAAATAGCCACCCTTTGCTCTGATTACTGCTTTGCACACTCTTGGCATTCTCTCCATGAGCTTCAAGAGGTAGTCACCTGAAATGGTTTCCACTTCACAGGTGTGCCTTATCGGGGTTAATTAGTGGAATTTCTTGCTTTATCAATGGGGTTGGGACCATCAGTTGTGTTGTGCAGAAGTCAGGTTAATACACAGCCGACAGCCCTATTGGACAACTGTTAAAATTCATATTATGGCAAGAACCAATCAGCTAACTAAAGAAAAACGAGTGACCATCATTACTTTAAGAAATGAAGGTCAGTCAGTCCGGAAAATTGCAAAAACTTTAAATGTGTCCCCAAGTGGAGTCGCAAAAACCATCAAGCGCTACAACGAAACTGGCACACATGAGGACCGACCCAGGAAAGGAAGACCAAGAGTCACCTCTGCTTCTGAGGGTAAGTTCATCCGAGTCACCAGCCTCAGAAATGGCAAGTTAACAGCAGCTCAGATCAGAGACCAGATGAATGCCACACAGAGTTCTAGCAGCAGACCCATCTCTAGAACAACTGTTAAGAGGAGACTGCGCCAATCAGGCCTTCATGGTCAAATAGCTGCTAGGAAACCACTGCTAAGGAGAGGCAACAAGCAGAAGAGATTTGTTTGGGCCAAGAAACACAAGGAATGGACATTAGACCAGTGGAAATCTGTGCTTTGGTCTGATGAGTCCAAATTTGAGATCTTTGGTTCCAACCTCCGTGTCTTTGTGAGACGCAGAAAAGGTGAACGGATGGATTCCACATGCCTGGTTCCCACTGTGAAGCATGGAGGAGGAGGTGTGATGGTGTGGGGGTGATTTGCTGGTGACACTGTTGGGGATTTATTCAAAATTGAAGGCACACTGAACCAGCATGGCTACCACAGCATCCTGCAGCGACATGCCATCCCATCCGGTTTGCGTTTAGTTGGACGATCATTTATTTTTCAACAGGACAATGACCCCAAACACACCTCCAGGCTGTGTAAGGGCTATTTGACCAAGAAGGAGAGTGATGGAGTGCTGCGGCAGATGACCTGGCCTCCACAGTCACCGGACCTGAACCCAATCCAGATGGTTTGGGGTGAGCTGGACCGCAGAGTGAAGGCAAAGGGGCCAACAAGTGCTAAACACCTCTGGGAACTCCTTCAAGACTGTTGGAAAACCATTTCAGGTGACTACCTCTTGAAGCTCATGGAGAGAATGCCAAGAGTGTGCAAAGCAGTAATCAGAGCAAAGGGTGGCTATTTTGAAGAAACTAGAATATAAAACATGTTTTCAGTTATTTCACCTTTTTTTGTTAAGTACATAACTCCACATGTGTTCATTCATAGTTTTGATGCCTTCAGTGAGAATCTACAATGTAAATAGTCATGAAAATAAAGAAAACTCCTTGAATGAGAAGGTGTGTCCAAACTTTTGGCCTGTACTGTATACCATGGATTTCACCAGCACCTTCAAGGTCATTATTTATCTGGACATTGTTTATACAAAAAAATATACATATAGTATATAGTCAAAGGTTTATGTTTACCTCAAGGTTCATTCCCGTCTTCCCCACTTTTAGGAGATAGCAACCACCTTTATGGTGGAAACAGAAAGCCATCTGGTTCTTGTTGTCTATTTGCCGGGTGTATATGTTGACTAAAAGTTCTGAGGACAGAAGCAAGACAACATATTTTGTGTCTGAGTCAATATATTTGCCATAAGAATAAATAACTATTCAAAATAGTGAGGCATACCAGAAAATAGTTATACCTGTTTGACTATCACAAGCACACAGCTTCACTCCATCCGTAAATTGCCGGACCGTCACGTATTTCCCAACTTTAACCTTCAGAACAGAGAGCTTGGCCATACTGTGGATCGTCATGCTGTCTTTTCAGTGGTGTTCTGACATGAAGGGAAGGATAGAAAAACCTTTAATAAGTCAGAGACACAATCTGCAGTGCTTAAGAAAGTTTTCCTAGACAACATTGCACTGAAGTGTCCCATTTAATTACTGGGGAAAACTGTCTTTACACTTTGTATTCTGAGCTGTCTCAGTCTCGTTACCTTTCAGCTATGTAACTTACTAAGGTATGGTCCCTCTGGATCAGTGACTGTCAACCTGCTTGCAGCTGAGTGGAGAAGAGTTTAAGATCAAGTGGCTCAGTGAAGTTTTGGTATTCTTTTTGGCATAAATATGTGGCTCTCTTTCCACCAACTCAGTCTGACTCTCATTGACTGGGTTAAGATTACTAAGAGTTTGCTTGCCAGTAAAACCAGTTTGTAGGGTTGTAAATTCCTGCTCCTTCAGTTGATTGAATTACCTGCAGTAATCACTGTGCACTCGATTTGTCGAATCTACTGTCTGCCTGGTCTGCACTTATAACTGAATTGGATTCGATTGCTTCTATACAGCGCTCTGTGTATTTCTGCACACCAGACTGGTAAACTAATCCACACAGATTCAAATGTTAGGCACAGATATGTCATAAAATTCACCTCCGTACAGATAATCTTCCTTGGCAACATACTCAGGATTCTACTGGACTTTTGACTCCTTGTCAGTATGATGTAATCCATCACAACTATACTTGTGTTTTATTGTATCCACTATAAAATAATGGATTTTTGCCAGTGTATCCAGGTTTACATGAGTAAAAAAAATCCAACCATTCATAAACACAACTGTTCAAGAGTCAAAGCTAAATACAGTGGTGCGACTTAACAAAGTACATTTGCTTCATATTTTATACTCCACTACACACAAGAGGCAAACATGAGCCTTTTTACTCCACTACATTTAGAAGACAGCGAAAACACATTATTAGAGATTAAGATGCATACCATGTAGACACAATATTTCTGGTTCAATTCCAGTCGGGGACCTCTATTGCATGTAAAGGCAGCAACTAATGATAATCTTTGATTGTCACTAGTAAAACATTTAAACAACTCATGTTGTACAATAAAATGTCATAAAACTATGAAAAATGTCCATTACAATGTCCCAAAACCTCTGACAAAGTCTTTAAATGTCTTGTTTTGTTCCAACCAACAGTTCAGAGCATGAAGATATTCGATTTTCAAATCTTCATCAAATCTTCACATTTGTGAGGATGAAAGCACAGAATATTTGCTTAAAAAAACTTTTAATTGATTTTCAAGATAGTTGCTATTTAATTTTACGACACTCAACTAAATGTATCAGCTACAGTTGCATGATGTCGTCCGCTCCTGGACTTGTGTTTATATGTATTTAAAAAACCAAAAACGACTCAAATGTTTTTTAATCACCAAAAGTCCAAACTGCAAATGTCTGTCAGATTAATTGAAGACAGGGATTAATTGACACATCATTTGTTAATGGGTAGAGCAGTTTTCACAGTGCATCATATTTCAAAAAAATGATTCATGTGTTTTGTATGTAAAATCTTAATTGGTAAAGTAAATGTAAAGGAAATACTCAAGTCCAAGTATGTCAAAATTGTACTTTGTAACATTATACTGCAATAATATAATAACCAACATTAATTTCTTGCTTTATGATTACTTTAAGTACATTTTACTCTTACTCTGTACTTTAACTTAAATAATATTTCGAATGAAGGACTTGTACTTTTAGCTCACAGTCTTAGGTAACATGTCGAGGAGAGTCTCTTGCTGCAGTGCCACGCAGTTTGGATCAAATCCCCGTGTCATTATTACTGGCAAGATTACATTTCTGGCAGCAGCCTCGTGGTGCAAGCAGATTAGGCCCGCCGAGACGCGCAGGAAAACAGTTTAAAGTAAAAGTTAGATGCTCTCTATTCGCATTAACAAAGTAGATTCCTTACTTAAACTTATTGCAGACTGGAACTACTACCGACTATTATCACGCTGCAAAATTAAGTGTGAAGATGCACGCAGTTCGGTAACTTTATTAAAGTGCTGCCATAACACCACACAGTGTCAAAGCCTAGGTATTACACAGGAGAGGAATGCAAAGTGTGCATTTCTGGAAAGAATTCAACAGTCACTTACCTTCAGTGATAAAGTCTTGTGAAGCTGTAAACGCCTGAGCGCCGGAGGCTGACAGAGAAGGCAGTAGGGTGCAGCAGTGCAGTTTGCTCTCCACGCTGCACGAGAACTCTTTAAATAGCTGGACATGCTGACGACAAGCGCTCGCTACGTAATGTGAACCACAGCCAGCAGGACGCGACGATGGGATGGACCAGTAACTGAATTGTTCAAACGCCTAAAAATCTGTTACGAATCAAAACACTTTTATAATTTAGACATGAGATATGGGTGTAGGGAGATCCACATACTGAGTCATCTTTGACAGTAAGATGCAGCAAGGGAAAAATAAGCTGTCTATTTAAGAATAGGTCATATTTTTTAATTTCCCTTATGCTGTATTTTATTTTCACTGTATGCCAATTATTTTTCTGGGTCAACACACCTCGTTACCTCTCCTTATTGTAGCTTTAATCTAATCTTATATACACCATATAAAAGGATAAGGAGTCTGCAGTTTGCTCCAGATATTCAACAGACAGAGCTGGACTGACACACAAGGGGGCCATGGGGCAAAAAAAATGATCTGTTGGCCCTCATCGATCCCCCCTTTCTCCTAGCACTGTGGATTTTCAGTCATTATTTTTTTGGCCCTGTCACTCAGAAATAATATTTATATTCTGCTGATTTGTTTTGCCCACTCTAGGGCTGAACATTGAAGCCAACTTGACAACAGCCATTTAAGGTTACGATATCTATTGCACGTGTGTCCGTCCTGGAAGAGGGATCCCTCCTCAGCTGCTCTTCCTGAGGTTTCTACCATTTTTCCCCTGTTAAAGGGGTTTTTGGGGAGTTTTTCCTTATCCGCTGCGAGGGTCCTAAGGACAGAGGGATGTCGTATGCTGTAAAGCCCTGTGAGGCAAATTGTGATTTGTGATATTGGGCTTTATAAATAAAATTGATTGATTGATGGATTGATTGATGGTTGGTTCCAGGCGTCAGTTTATCCCCGCAGACACTCGTGGTAAAAGGCCCAACTTCACAGCAGATAAATCATGTTTACAGTCTGGTACAAAAAATGGCTTTAGTCTCTTATCTCTGCTCAACATTAATTTTTCACAGCTGGTTTATTTATTGTTCTCTGTGCGGCTCCACCTCCCTCCAACAGGTAAAAACCACATAAAACTTTGCTAATGAATGATTACAATCTGCAATCTGAGGCAAAGCGAAGCAGCAGAGCAACCTTGTGTGTGTTTCTACATTAATTAATTCATTATCAGTTAAAGCTTCTCTTACCTTTCTTGCATTTCACCAAGAAGGCCTACTCCCTCCTCCTCCATTACATCCTCATTGTGTCTATGATAGATGTAGGCGTTGGCAAGGTAACATAATGTTATGCAAACAGTTTCTTCAGTCGGAGGCCTCCACGTGGGAAAGACAGACAGGACGCTCGGCCAATCATTGCATTGGTTGGAGCTTTCTTAGAACCATATGAGAATGGTATAATTATGAGTTTTTATCTCTGGTGGAATTCACTTACATTTTAGTGTGCCATCAGCTTATAACCTAAACAAAGACAAGTGTAAAATTTCCAGAAAGGTAAGTGTCACTTTAATACAGTCTATATGCTTCCAAATCCTCCATAACCACCTGCATTATCACTTGGCAAAACTCAATACACACACAGTGAAGCTGGCAGCAGCTACATGCTACAGAGACAAAAAAAAATCTGCTGATGTAACACGCTGTGTCCGTGCTCCATGTATATCAGCTGTTAATCAGATCCACTCCTCTCACCCAAACATGGTCACTTCTGGCTCCAAAAAACCAAGATGGCGACGGCCAAAATGCTAAACTCATGGCTTCAAAACAGGAGTTCACAAACCAGTTGGTTACGTCACCATAGCTACATGCATTATTTTTACGTCTATGGTTTAACTAGTTACCTTCGAGGTAAACGCCATTGCTGACAGCATTATGTTTTAATGTTTTTCTTCGCAGAATGAATTGTTCAGAAAGAATCCAAGACACTAAAGACTCAACATTAATTGTCTGCCACATAAACCAAACCGACATCAAAGAACTAGTGACGACAAAGGTTGACTGTGGTATCAGCTTGCATTCCCTGGGTCTTGGCCAAAAGACATGTTTAAACCTTTAATCACACGCCAAAGAATTTAAACAAAACAGCATGTACGTTCTACGCTTGCGAGAAGAAAATAACTCTCCACACCAGATCTCAAGCCCTCTTGACTTCAGCTTTTTGTTTGCTTTTCTCACCTCTGTTTCTCTTCTCGTCCACTGAGTTGAACTAAGTGATGCAAAGAAGTTAAGTCACCAAGCCAAAATGTTGGCCTTGTACATTTCTGCAAACCACAAATTCATTATATTTGCACATTTAATATGTATCATATCAATGTTTCTCACGTTATGGGGAGGTAGAAGGGATGGTGGGTGGCATGACACTTTGGTGAGACGCCTGCCAAGCTGCAGACCACTGTTCAGGACCAAAAAACAACAAAATTGGCTGTAATTTAGCGAGCCATTGCTGTGTTTCCAGCAGCACCAAACATGGGTGTTTTGTGGGGACCCATTGCTGTGTTTTTTTAAGCTTTTAAAGGACAAGATATTGCTGCTTCTCCGAGGATAGCAGCCTGATCTATATTGGACGACCTTGCCACCGAGATACCTGATTCTGGCTTTCTGAACATTGGAAAGCTAACCAAGGTTATCCACAATCTCTACACTTTTGTTTTCAGGGGCCCTGGTAGTCTCTTACACAGACGCAGATGACGTCAGCACGCTGGCTGACTCTGTCGTCTGTGGACATTCCCATAGGAAAGTTAGAATAGAACTAGCGCTGGCTCCCAGTGGCAGTGATGTGAGGATCCAAATCCGTGTACTTCCGTACTTCCTCGACCAACAGCTGATTAGCTTTACCTTACACCTGCCTACACTGGAATTGTTGTTCCCGAATTGTTGTCCGTAGTACAACAGAAAAGGAAGTGTTCAGTGCATCGCAAGAAGAGATTAAAATGGATATGATTTCATTTGATTCAGCTATATTGCAGAGCTGCAACGTCTCTGTTACATGTAACATACGCACCGTACCTATGGCAACGCCGTCACGTAGTCTGGATCTCCCCTCCCATTTCTATTACCAAACGAAAGACAAATGTCCCCAGACTCCCAGGGAGGCTGGTCACGCGAGACTAGGGCCCTGGAGGCCCATAGCTCTATGCATTCCACAAAGTTGCTGATCAACGTAATTGGGGAAAAAATGACATAATTTGTGCTTATATTTCTGTTTTGTCAGAGCACCCACAGGCATGTGTCAAAGGTGTGGTGCGTCATCCTTCTGTTAGTGATCTAGAATAGCACTCTATGATTCAGCAGCAGTGATGCAAACTGCTGCAGGAAATTTACCAAAGGTGGGCGTGGAAGATGTCTACACAATGCAATGTGTTACAACCTCACAAGCCACTTGAGGAATGCTCCCTCTAGTGGCCAACAGAGGTAGTGGATCTGAATGCTGTAAGCTGGTCTGGAGAAGGACATGACGTTAATGTAAACTGAACAAATAGAGAATGTATGATGATTTTTTTTTACATCCTATTCTACTATATTACTTTGTCTGGAGTCATACATTTCCATGAAATAAGCTTAATAAAGGTTATAAATATCAGGTTTTGATTTTAGATTATAATTCATTTGAAAGCCTCGTTCTTAGTGTTTTACATCCGACCTGGAAAACCTCGCAGCCACTTTTATTTGTTATAGTGTACCGTGCTCCTGGCCCGTATTCTGAATTTGTATCTGAATTCTCAGAGTTTTTATCCAGTTTAGTTCTTAAATCAGATAAAGTTATTATTGTAGGCGATTTTAACATTCATGTCGACGTTGATAATGACTCCCTGGCTACCGCGTTTATCTCATTAATAGACTCCATTGGCTTCAGTCAGGGTGTACATGAACCCACTCACTGTTTTAACCATACCCTCGATCTAGTTCTGACGTATGGAATTGAAATTGATAACCTAAAAGTCTTTCCACAGAATCCCTTGCTATCAGATCATTATCTGATTACTTTTGATTTCTTTTTACTCGATTACACGCCACTCAGCAACAGTTACTATACTAGATGTTTATCAGATAGTGCTGTCACAAAATTTAAGGAAAAGATTACTTCGTCGTTAAATTCAATACCAATACCTTCAGTAACAGAGGTTTCCCGTGCCGACTTTAACCTCTCCCAAATTGATCATTTTGTTGATAGCGCCGTAGGCTCGCTGCGAACAACGCTCGACTCTGTAGCTCCTCTTAAAAAGAAGTTAACAAAGCAAAGAAAGTTTGCTCCTTGGTATAACTCTCAAACCCGTAGGTTAAAACAAATATCGCGAAAATTTGAAAGGAATTGGCGATTAACCAAACTGGAAGAATCTCGTTTAATCTGGACAGACAGTCTCAAAACTTATAAGAGGGGCCTCCGCAATGCCAGAGCAAACTATTACTCAGCATTAATAGAAGAAAACAAGAACAACCCCAGGTTTCTTTTCAGCACTGTAGCCAGGCTGACTGAGAGTCAAAGCTCTATTGAGCCTTGTATTCCTTTAGCCCTTAGCAGTAATGATTTTATGAGCTTTTTTAATGACAAAATTCTAACTATTAGAGGCAAAATTCATGACCTCCTGCCCTCAGATGGTAGGCCTACCTATCTAACCTCAAACACAGCTGTAGAATCTAATATATATTTAGATTGCTTCTCCCCAATTTCTCTTCAAGAATTGACCGCAGTGATTTCTTCATCTAAATCATCAACGTGTCTCTTAGACCCCATCCCAACTAGGCTACTTAAGGAGGTCTTTCCTTTAGTTAACACTCATATATTAGATATGATCAATATATCCCTATTAACAGGCTATGTACCACAGTCTTTTAAGGTAGCTGTAATTAAACCTCTCCTAAAAAAGCCCACCCTGGATCCAGAGGTGTTAGCCAACTATAGACCAATATCTAATCTTCCCTTTATGTCAAAGATCCTTGAGAAAGTAGTCGCAGACCAGCTGTGTGATTTTCTCCAGGATAATAATTTATTTGAGGAATTTCAGTCAGGATTTAGAGTGCATCATAGCACTGAGACAGCTCTAGTTAAAA